CGGTGTTCCTCAACTAGCATTTCAACATCTGCCTCCAGTTTAGAAAGCCTTGCCTGATTCAGATTTTTCTCAGAAATGTCTTCATTCTCGCGAAGCAAAGATGTTCCCGGTTGCAGATCAGTTTCTTTGGATTTCCCCAATAGACGCTTCAGTCCACGGGATTGTGCCTTTGCCATGTCGCTTGGAAGTCTTCAAACGCCTCCACTCGGATGGGTGTCCAAAGTGCGAATGCACCCAATATCCATTCTGGAGCCTTGAGAACTCTTTGACGCAGGCCGTGACGCATTCCCTTTCATCTTTGCGTGACGTCATAACATTCTATGCGCCACCTGTTTTTCCATCCAGCTTCGGAGACGTGTGGACCGAATGCGTCACAGGTTAAGTCACGTGACGTTGGTGTCTAACGCGCTGGCAAACGTTCACGTTAACGGCGGCTCGCGTATCTGCATCCGACCCTCGGAAAGTAACTACGAAAGCCTTTCAATCGTCACCAGTGTTTAAGAGTCTAAACTCTCCTTAAGATATCGGTCTAAACTTTAGACCCAAATCTTACGGAGGTTGTGGCGATTTTATCAATAATTTAGACTTCAAATGATGTACTTAAATAGTCCAACGTGAGCTCAGGTTCGTTTTTGTGTGCAGGATTTCCATCCAATACATATGTATAGACCTAACTCAATCTAAGAACATTGAGGAAATAGGATTAAGCTGATTTAGTCCAACTCATTTTGATCAAAATCATCTCAAATGAATAGATTGATCAAATATAAAAGAATTTTGTTCGTTGAAATCAATCTGTCAAATCTTGTACAGATCTTATAAGTATGTTGTATATACAACATCTAAATGACACAATTGTGTCATTTAGATTCTTGGTGCACTCTTATTACCCTTCCCCTTTCATTAAATGATAACGCATGCACAAACCCCATGCTAGCCTGCACAGCTGTCCTCAAGCCCCAGAGATCCTCGTTGCTTCTCAGTGATTCGCCTCGCCGTCTCCACATAGACAATGTAGACACAAAAATAGACAATGTGATATGCTGCACAGGGGTAGAAAGCAGGGGCGATGCCTTTAGCTGGACACAGAGCGGCGCAAGAGTCTCAGAAATGCTGGTTTCATTTTGGAGGTGAGGCGCTCAGTGACGCGCAGATCGGATCCCCCTGCCCAGTGAGCATTTTTTGGTTGAAAAGGCGTTTAAAAGACGTCTATGCCCGACGTTGAAAAGACGTTGCAAAATGGTTTAAAAGTGAAAGTTGTTTCAACGTCTATTCGTAGACGTTGAAAAGACGTCTATGTTTAGACCACATTTCAACGTGATTTTTTAATACGTTAATATTTCGTCTTCTCTGGTATGCTATATCATTATTTTAGAGGTTTAAAAAGAAACTACGTCCACATTTGTAAGTTTACCACCGATATGATAAATCACGTTGAAATGTGGTCTAAACATAGACGTCTTTTCAACGTCTACGAATAGACGTTGAAACAACTTTCACTTTTAAACCATTTTGCAACGTCTTTTCAACGTCGGGCATAGACGTCTTTTAAACGTCTTTTCAACGTTGAAATGCTCGCTGGTTGAAATGTGGTCTAAACGTAAACGTCTTTTCAACGTCTATGAATAGAATAGACGTTGAAACAACTTTCACTTTTGAACCAATTTGCAACCTCTTTTCAACGTCGGGCCATAGACGTCTTTTCAACGTTGTTTCAACGGATAAATTGCTCGCTGGAAACGTACAAGTTACATACTTAGTCACAGTTGTCATGTTAACAGCCCTTAACAAGGACAAACACATTATTTTATTAATTTGCATTTATTATAAATATAACACTATACATATAACACTTTTCCTAATTAAAAATACAAAAATAAAATATATATTTCAGGGAAATTAACTATGGATTTAAAAGTGCAGAAACAACATTTCTGTGTTCAACAACAACAATTCTGTGTTTGTAGACCATTTTTCTGAATCATTTGAACTTCATTTTTAGATTCTGTAACAAGATGTGGCTGTGAGTCACTTGAGTTGGGATAGTATACCTGAAATCAGCTGCATCTCCCTCATCCTCACTTGAGGATTCTTTGTGTAAAGGGAGTCAGAGTGCAGAGAACAGCCCTCAATTGCAGATTTCTCTGGTCAACGTGTTTATTCAATTCAAATCATTTTATTTTGTTCAGCTTTGCAATCTGTAAACATGCAACATCCTGTCCTAAAACACCCAAAATGTAAAAAACCTTCAACCGGGACAAACCTGAGGAGAAAACAGCAAGGCAGTAGGTGTGTAGAGTATGAACAATTTAAAGATGTACAGTACATCCAATTCCTACGACAGAAATGATTCTAATATTGTGGATTACTAAGCCAGGGGTAATGCAGGACCAGTGCAGGGACAACCATCATCAGACGTAACCTCCATCAGATGCAACCACCACCCGCAGAAACCTGTGAGGTGGGAAAGCACAAAGGCAAAGTTGGTCATTTGGGTTTATGATGACAGTAATAAACTAATAATAATAACAGCAGCAGGTGTGTTAGAACACTCATTTATAGATGGTTTACTTATTACATTATCAACAAGATAACAATCAATCTGCAACTTATGGTATTTCTGGAGTAACATGTCCAGGTATATTACACAGTATCATGCTTTAAGCAGCAGTAACTTATAATGTGTTGTCCCTCTTGTTTACAGAGCACAACTTGTTGAATTCAGCCCTTCACCCTTGCAATCTGTATTTAGCCCCCATTGCTTTAAAAACGTATCTTCAATGTGAAATGCAATAACATTTATGGGTACAGCAACAACCTAACGCATTAGTAACACCAAACACACGAAAAATATTCTGGGATGTTTACTTTTGGTCCAGGTCATCATGCTGAACGCTAGCATGCTCCAAGCTAGCAAGCTAACTAGCAAACTACCTGCGCTAACGCTAACTAGCTTAACAAAAAGGGCCGTCTTTCCCGTATCGAGTCGGCAGCACAAGTAAAACACCCGGTTATAGTTCCAGGTGTGCTTCATCCAAACACTCCCGTACTTACAGAGTAGTGGAGCCGGTAGTCGTGGTTCTATCAGCCCGTTCATGTCGCTCTGCTGCCGTAACTTCGCCTCGTCCGCTCGGAGCTCTGCAGGCGTCTAATAACTCGCGCATGCGCGTTACAGATGTGAGCGGAGTTACGTGTTTACAAGTAATGTTTGAACCTGCCCGCATTATTATGCCTTAAACGCATCTTATTAACAGCACGCAGTCCGTAGTTTCATATTTATAACGTTTTAAGTGAAATATTAAATACGTTGAAATTACGTCTTCGCGTAGACCAAATTTCGCCGACCAGTTCATTAATTATAATTAAAATCTTAACGTTAATATCGTCTATCTTTCAACCTTACGTTACATCATGACACATTTATCAACAAATTGATGTTTTCTGGCACGTTGATGTTTTATCCCATTTTTAGCCGGTTGAAAAGACGTTGAAATGAGGTCTTAGACGTTCAGACCTCATTTCAACCCGATTTCAACCATATTTCAACGTTGAAATTACGTCTTGTGCTCACTGGGTGATATTATCATGTCGTACCCCATTAAACGTGCAATAGTTGGTAATATAGACATTGGCGCATAACATATAGAAGACACTCGGTCCAATAAAGTACAAGCTTTTGTAACAAATAAAATAAATACTCCTTTAAATTGCAAAACAGTCTGTAATTGAATTGCGTATTGGGCCCTTCTCGTGCATGTATTTAAGATGTGAATCTCCTCTATTGTCATAAGTATCGACCAACAGTCGACTGCCGTTGTCCCGATTCAGCAGCTGAAATAACAGTAATTCACTGCGGTCAACTCAGCCGACGCTTGAATATTAGTGCACGTATATGCTGACAATTACGGTGTTGAACACGTAACCGGGGAAAAGACCATTTAAATAGCAAATTCCGTAAGAATTATATAATTGCAATTTCAAAAACACCATTTCTCCATATTTGAGCTGCAATAAAAACAGATTTATCATTAGTTCCAACTAAGGCAAGACCATGACTGTGGTCCCCTGCTGGAGCTGTTGCCTAACGTTTTTTGGGATGACTAAAAGTAGAAAATGCCTTTCCTGCTGAAAATGCGTTGGAATGCAAAAAGCTGAAATGAAATTACAGAAAGTTGAAGGGAATTTTAATACATTTGCTGAAATTACAGATATTAGAAAAAGTAGAAATAAAAACAGCTAAAATGAATTTGAAAAATTGCAAAAAATACAGAAATGAATATTAAAACATTTCTGTTAATACAGGCATAATAAAAGCTTTATTTTATAGAAATTATTTTAAACAAATATCAAACATCTCCAAACATGGAGAAACTGTCTTTTTGAACGTGCAATTACAGGGCTTTTACTTTGGAGAAATCTTTTTTTGTATGGCAGTTCAAACTTTGAGAAATGGTGTTTTTGAACTTGAAAAAATAGCTTTAACTTTGAAGGAATCTCAGAATCTGTAAGGTACAAATGTTTCAAATTCAGCATGGTAGTAGTCAGAGAGGTTCTTAACACAGGTACATTGGTCTTGGCCTCGAACTATTGGGAAATCTGTTTTTATTGCAGCTCAAATAGAAATGGTGTTTTTGAAATTGCAATTATAGGGCTTTTACTTTGGAGAAGCCTCCAAATCTATACAGTAAAAGTACTTGATATTCAGCATGGCAGTAGTTAGAGAGGTCTTTAACACAGGTACATTGATCTTGGCCTCGAAATATTGGGAAATCTGTTTTTTTTGCAGCTCAAATGGTGTTTTTGAAATTTCTATTACAGGGCTTTCCTTTTTACTAGAGACATCTCAATTTTTATTATACAAAGATTTCTTTTATTGTACACGAGTATTCCTGTACACACATAGTTCTATCGTTGCCTCGAATTTTCTATTTAAATAGCCTTTTTTCGGGTTACTTGTTCAATACCGTAAGTGTCAGCATATACGTGCACTAAAATTCAAGCGTCGACTGAGTTGACCACGGAAATCCGAGTGTCGGCTGGATTGGATTGACCAGTGGGCGAATTTCATTTTTTTAATATCCAAAATTGCTGTCGCTGTCCCGCTGCAGCATCAGTCCGAACAGTGACAAAGGTACAGTCGTTTGCATTGAGGTCCTGGTTTTCCAGATGATGCGTTTTCAGTATGTAGGGTAAAGCCCAATTAAAGTGAGACCAGCTTCAGGCTAACTAATCCAAATGATGTCAGTTATCTCCTTCACCTGCAAGCAGTCACCAGCTGCTCTGTGCGGCCATTCGCATGCTATTAGATGGAGCTCCAGCGTTCAGTAAACAAATGCTTTATAATGATTACGGTTTGTGAAATTGGTAAACAGAAATTCGATTTTTGTAGCAAACATATTAGTCTGTCCTGTTCTTGGTCAATACACCTGGAAGCATCCAGGATGAAGACTAGCTGACTAAGTATTATGGTCGCGCCAATCTGTAGGAATACAAAAGCTTTGCTGCCAATTAAGTTTTTGTCACGGAAATTCTCCAGCTCAGCCCTCTGGGTTTCAAAAATGTGTCAGTAGATACGTACGTGTATGTGTCCAAAAATAACCTGACCTCAGCCAATCAGGAATGGGAAGGCCGGACAACGACACAGGTTTGACTTGTTCAGTCAGTGTGGTGAAAAGAAAAGTTGTATCGAGCGATGGAGAGGAAAAGATTTGAAGAAAAAAAACAAAAAAGACTTTTTTTTGGACTGTATATTTCTGCCCGAGTGCCAGTAGGTTTCCACTCCGGCTGTCCGTTGACTAAAAAGGCCGTGTGTAAGAGACGGTCAGGTCTTCAAAGGTAAGGAAAGGAGGCGCAGTATTTTTGGACGGGGTCTAATTTCACACATGACTTCTGTAACCAATAGCAGCCGTGAACAGCTTTGAGGTGAAAGGCTCTCTTGTTGAGTCTTTGAAACATGGCTCTCAGTTGGCTCTTCGGATCGTTAATTGTCCGGTATGCAAACGTTGAGATAGCAAGGTTTCCTTTCCGTCCAGGCTCCTACTTTCTCGTCGACTGCCAAGAGGTTATTCTTCACAAAAAGGCTCCAGAGCTTGAATTTAAACAAAGCTGAACACAATCCTCAGGCTGGATCGAACTTATTTTCCCTGCTACCACGCCAGCGTTCCTGGACCATGGCCACGTGCCTCGACTTCCAAGTTCACGCTGCTTGTGTCAGCGAGGTGGATTATCTGGAGAGTCCTCGCGCAGTACCGGAGGTGGTCGCCTTGCCCGACACTGATCCGCTGACCGCGGAGTCTTTCTGTCAGTGTGACCGACAAGAAGAGCTCAGCAGCGCCTGCGTCTGCGGGGAGGAGGAGGAGGAGGAGCAGGAGGAGGATGAGGAGGGTGAGAGTGCTGAGATACACCGCATGAGCACGGCAGGAAAACACAGGACATTTCAATGAACGAAGGATGAAATCTACTGCAGATCCGTCCGTCCGTGCGTTTCTGTTCCCAGGTTTTGAGTGGGAGTGGGACGAGTGCTTTGCGTCTTCAGGGGCCCGTCTCAGCTGTGGCAACAGGAAGGTGAGCTTTCACCCAGACTACAGCTGTGGCACGGCGGCCATCCGCGGCACCAAGGAGCTCACAGACGGCCAGCACTTCTGGGAAGTCAAGATGACCTCGCCCGTCTATGGAACCGACATGGTGGGTAGCTTTCGTCCGAGTCTCCGCTTGGGTTTTGGAGTTGTCGCGTGGCGATCTGGAACGAGGGCCACCGACATGTTTTGATCGGGTTTTTGCCGCTTTCTCGCTGCAGATGGTGGGAATTGGAACTGCAGAGGTGAATATTGAGAAGTTCAATTTTAGCTTCGGCAGCCTTCTGGGCCACGATGAAGACAGTTGGGGACTCTCCTACACAGGTGAAAGGGACAGAATGCAAGTTTGAAATGTACCATGAATGATCAGAGATATGAGACTTTTCCCCAGTTTAAAGAAGAAAGAGTTGAAGATACAACCAATCAGTAGAAGGCATAGAAGTCTGTTGTATACATTAATATAACACACGTGCCTTTATTCATGATGGTTCTATAAATGCATGTCCCTGATCATACCTCACGTAAGTAGAATTTGAAATGCATGTAAACTGACAACCCCTGACTAAAGTGACTTATGTTAAGCATAACAAGCGCAATGTTCAGTGCTTGACAATAACCAGGACAGAACAACCAACAAACTGCACAATTAACTTCCTCCGTCACAGAAAATAAATGCTACATGCTGTTTCTTCTCTTAATATGTGTAAAAGGACTTCTCCAGCACAAAGGGGACAAAGTGAAGTTCTCGTCCCGGTTTGGCCAGGGCTCCATCATAGGAGTGCACCTGGACACCTGGCACGGCACCCTGACCTTCTACAAGAATCGACGCTGCGTAGGTGCGTGTTTTCTCTGTGTTCCAAGCCACATGAAACCCACCAAAACTGCATCTTCCTCACGACCGCCTCGCGGCGTTTTCAGGTGTCGCCGCGACGAGGCTGCAGAACAAGAAGTTCTACCCCATGGTGTGCTCCACAGCGGCTAAGAGCAGCATGAAGGTGATCCGGGCCTGCTGGACGCCCACCTCGCTGCAGTACCTCTGCTGCGCCCGCCTCCGCCAAACGCTGCCCTGCCGCCCCGACGTACTGGACGCCGTGGAGCTGCCCCCGGGCCTGCGCAGCGTCCTCCGCTGGCGGCTCGGCTGGGTGTTCTCCCTCGGCGGCGGCCCAGGCGCCTCGGAGCGGCGCGAGGACCCGCCCGGCGATTCCCGCCAGGAGACGGGCCCGCCCACCGAGGCCCGAGCCCCCGCCCCGAGCGCCTGCGCGAGCCCCTTTCTCGACGGGGTCCGATACGACTGTCGAACGTCACCTCGAACCATTCCGTGCACTTGGCACAACCCGCCGGGCGGCGAGTACGACAGCTGCAGCTCCGAGCCGGAGGACTACCAGAGCAAACGAGGCCGCTGGGCGTGACCTCGAGGTCAATACGTGTTCTGTTGCAACTCCGAGTGTTCAGAGCAACCGAATCTTCAAGCCACTGTTTAAGTGGATTTTTAATTGGACAAGTTTGGTGTTCAAACAGTGGGGATGAATGAGAAGGGAGTGAGTGTGCAGTAGGAAAAGACGTTTAATCCTTCATATTATAGCCAATTTCTACTATTCGGGTTAGTAATGAAAATATGAAGCATAATCTACCAGATTAGATAAACACAATGGATATCTTGTGTTTAAGATCTCCAGTATAGACTCCAGGGACAAAAGAAGTTGCTTTTTTTGATACTATGGAAATTACATTTCTTTTATATGTGTTTTGTAGTCAACACGTGGAATTTTTCCAGATCCTTTTTTTTAATTATTAATTCATTTATTAACTTTCTTCCGCTTGAAACTCGCTTATTTTACGTGTCAAATGAATTAAAAACGTTCTGCTGCATCTTATTTTATCGACTATTCACAGTTAAACCAAACAAACTCACCATGGTTCCTTTAACAATACATCTTGCATTTGTACATTTTTTCCACTACTTCAACTACATATTGTTTCAAGGTATTCTACAGTATATAATATTTTACAAAGCATATTCTCAAATCTGTTCAGAGGAGTATAAATATTTATATCTGCGGCATTATTTTAGCTTTACAACATCTACACATTAGCAGCCCAGTGGGGACAAAGTGTCATTAGAGACCAGATTAATCCGTCCATCTGCTTCTCAAGTGGACAGATCAGTCCAACACCAGCTGGGGGTTCTGTGCAGTGAAGCAGCGGTAAACTCTAGCGGAGATCTCCGGTCCTACTCGTCTCTCTTTTCCTCCACTTCTCACCACGAGGCCGGCCAGCAGCCCCTTTCTGTCCTCCTCCGACTCCACGCTCTGGTACGCCTAAAACAAAACGACGACGTCGGAGACAGAACGTTCGTCGTTCGCCCTGGAAGGATGAATGTGGCGAGCGGGGCGGAGTCTACCTGCAGCAGCAGCTGAGGGGACGGGTAGGCGCCGGTCACGGTGGAGGCCACGGAGGGGCTAACTCGGTTAAGCTGCTGGATCTGCCTGCTCCAGACCTGGATCAGCCCGGAGCCGTCCCTCTCCACCCGAGCCCCGCCGGCCCACGCACCGTCCACGCAGAAGGGCAGCTCCGCTCGCTCCGTCAGCAGTCTGGAGAGACACGGAAGGACATCTTGTCAAAAAGGCACCAAAGGTTAATCAGTTTTCCTCGTCGGTTAATGCGCGATAATGACCGGAGTGGCTTCGTACTTGAAGGGCCGCTTCGACAAGGCCTTGGTGACGGCGCACACGTGGTTGGTGATCTCCTGCCAGCCATCCAGGAGGACCAGGTTGATGTTCTTGCAGAGCTGCAGGTACACGAGAACCTGGAGAGAAACGGAGACGAGTGAATGATTGAAGCGTGCAGGAACGTGCATGAGGAGCATGTGCAGCGTTCCCTGCAGGAACAACAAAGCAGCTGCAACTAATCCACAGAGTCAATGTGACCGGACCTCCTCGACGTCCAGGTTCTCCATCCCGGATTTGGATTGTAGCATCTCCTCTAGTAAATATGCACCACAAGCATCTGTCCTGTTGGTGAGCGAAGCAATGCGTCGGATCAGAGTGTGGTCATGAAAAGTATGACAGCGTAAGCTGGTAAAGTCCATGAATCAGACTAACCTGTAATCGCTCTGATAGTGTGTCACTAAGAGAGTGACCAACTTCTTGTCGTCCCGATTTAGATACTCCAATATTGGACTGAGGAAAGACCCCATCCCAGTCTCCTGCCCCCCACTGTCTAGCATCTGCAGTGGCAGCAAAATAATAGCAGGTCAGTCACGTAGGCTGGCATCAACGTTAAGGGCGTTACATCGTCAAAAGCAAGCTTACTTTCTTCACAGAGATCACCATGTCCACAAAGTCATTCAGACCGAGCACCAGAGCCACCTGCTCCTCTTCCACGGAGCCATCTTTGCCCTGCAAAAGACAAAAAAAAGAGCAATGACCCTGCTGGAGAACGTAGAGCAGAAAAGAATACGTCAGTATGTGTGAATGCAGAAAAATAATAAACGCAAAAGAAGCCGGAGTGTCACAAGATATGTAATCTGTGTGTCGCTTTTGCAAAGGAGTGCGAGGCGCCCACCTGAGGTGAATCTCTGAGCCAGGTGATGCTGTGTGGAAGCTGCTGGCTTTCGATGGTAAACCGCCACTCAAAGGCAGCCAGGGTGTCCAGCAGGATGTCCGAGCCGCCGTGTTGCAGAAGAGCTGGAACAAAAAAACATTGTTTATGCTCGCTCTCTTTAGTGGTTCGGCTTGTAGGTGGTATCATTTGTCCCGTACGCAACTGTGTGCACGAGATTACAAGATAAAATCAATTACATATTTCGTCATCAGTAAGTGTATTTCGTAGTATCAATTAAAAATAAGAAAAAGTTACGTTAAAGGCTGCCCCTGACTGCACCTGAAGGCAGCACGCAGTACCTGGATCCACGCGGACCGTCAGACACCTGAGGAGGTTCTCCGGCCGGAGACGCTTCACGTTCTCCGCGGCCTCCTTCCTCGCGCGCTGCTCTCGTCTCCTCGCCTCCTTCTCTTGGGCTCTCGTTGCCTTGCGCCGCTCCCTCGCCTCCTTCCTCTCGCCGGCCGCGTGTCGCTCGGCCTCGATCTCCTCCTTGGAGCGGCGTTTTCTCGCGGGGCTCGGCGTGCCACGTGGGTCGGGTCCGGGGGGGCGCAAGGCGGAGGCGTGACCGCGCGCCTCGCTCGACGGCGGGGCTCTGCAGCCGTGGCCCCCCGCTGCGCTGCACGTCGCTGTTGGTTTCCTCTCCTCGCGGTTCGGGTCACGTTTGGTCTCCGCTTCGCTTTCCTCGGATTCAGATATTTCCCAAGCCTTGACTCTGCGCAGCGCAGACATGTCACGCGTTTAAAACGCGATCAATGACCCCAAATATACCGTTGAAACCATCGGAGCAGTGATGTTTACATCGCGGCTCGACGGTGTCCGCCGGAGGACAAAAGATCATGAACGCGCTTCTAGCTGGTTGCGTCATCAGAACGGAGGGGCCAATTCACTGCACCTTTGTTTTTGTTGTAAATGACATGACGTACACATGTGCACCCTCTTGATGTCCCATTTTAACGGCACATCGCAATGATTTATGGGTAATCCCTTTGGTCGAAGGGGAAGGGTTCGTAGTGCACAAAGACTAGAAAAAATGTATTTCTCATGTACACTAACATACACATTTTAGGAGTGTTACTTCATGTAATATTCTACTGTCAATTCCATGCACATCAGGAAACATTTATTCACCAAAATATGCCAAACATACAAGGAATTTGTCTTGGCGGTTAGTGCGCGACCGTAGACAGACAAGACAGCCGTGCACAAGTAATAAAATAAAGTAAAATGAAATGCTAATGCAGTGAGTTAGTAGAATAAGGCTATGGGTTAGTATAAAATATATATAATAAAGAAATCTATACATAACATATATATAATATATATATAACATATATATAAAATACACATTTTCCAATTCATATACATTGATCTTTGTTAAATTGGAATTTAACTTAAATTATGTTGCAATGATTAAAAAAACACAATTTAAAATCTGTTAAGGCCATTCAAAGCATTGTTTAAACAAAACAGTTTTATGAAACACATTTTACGTTAATGGCAAAATTGAGAGGGTGTATCTTTTATTTATCGAAAAACAATGATGTTCTCATTTTGTTAATTTTGACTAAAACGGCATTCCATATTTGTCAAGACATTCAACAGAACATTCATTTTAACATTTAACTTTTATTCGCTCTTGAATGTTTTCTGTGGGAAATACAACGCGTGTGTTGTTCCCCAATAAAGTTTTGAACGGGTGAAAAAAGGGCGGGCGGGAAGCATCGAATTGTGAGCCGATTTCCAAACACACCGCCGCGTCATCGCGCCTCACCGTGTCCATCCACATGGCTGTAAGATCTGCGGTGAGCGGACCAGCAGCTGCTCGTGTAAACAACGCCGAGGGACGGGATCGGGAAGTGTCCTCTCTCTCCAGCCGCCGTCCTGTTTGTCCCCGTCGTCTGTCCACCATGACGCAACCGGCCGAGAAAGGTACGTGCTGTTGTCCGCGGAACGACTCTGGTCATCATATCCAGCATTGGGCCCCTTTGTGGTCTCAACAAATGGGCTCCTGAAGGGCCCGCTCAGCTGAGTGTCGGTCATGTGACCCGATGGGACGTTTCTGCAAAACCTGCAGAAACGAGCTGCGCTTTTTCTCGTTAACTTCTTTCTCAGACTGTTTTTTTTTTTTTGCCAATTGAAATGAATGAAGCCCTTTTCATTAGTGTACTTTAACGTTTCAGATTGAAGCATTCTAGATCATTTATAGTTTAAAAATAGATGAAGATGAGATGTTCACGTATTTTCTGGTTTGGACTAAATTCTACGGATAAATTGAAGGAAAATCTGACTGAACATGCTGCTATTGGTGCACGCTTAACCGAACGCGTCGAGTGTCTGTTTCTCTCTCTTCCGGCTCTCGAATGAAGGTTACTCTCCAGGAGAAACAACCATTCTGCTGTGTTGTTCCCCACAGTTTATTACCGCTTTCTGGTGCTGTTCTTCAACTGCCTGCTGACATTCGGCTCTTATTTCTGCTTCGACATCCCCAGTGTGTTGCAGGATCAGTTCCAGGGGGTGAGTGGGAGGTCGAAAACCACCTTAAAGACACCGTCAGAATCAAGTTATCTCACTTTTGAGTAGGTCTGTGTCATCGGCCTGTGGCTATTTAGACCATAACCTAAATCCCCGGCTTCCCTTCGCCTTGCAGAACCTGACGTGCTCCAATGCGACGGTAGTCAACGGCACGGTGGACTGCGTGCTGGGACTGGGGATGAACCCCGAGCAGTACAACCTTCTTTACGCCATCTACGCTTGGACGTGAGTGCTGGACGCGGAGGCCCGGACAATGGCTGATCAGAACGGGGCTAAAGCTTCTCTGTTATCTTATCAACAGGAATGCGGTGGTGGTCATCATGGCGGGGTTCCTGATCGACAAGTTGGGAAACCGCTGTAAGTCCACAAAGAAGACGTGCGAATCGGTCCGGCTGATTGTAACGTGCGATCGATGGCTCGACCTTTTGTCCTTCCTCTGCAGTCGGAGTGTTTCTGTTCTCCTTTCTGTGCGTTTTGGGCTCGTCGCTGTTCGCTCTGGGTTCCCACTTCAAAGGAACCCCTTACCTGCTGCCGCTGATGCTCACGGGGCGACTGCTGTTCGGCTCGGGCAACGGATCTCTGACCAGTGAGGCGCCGCCACCCCCAAAGTCTCTTACGTGCCGTCGTCGACTCGGATGGCGCGCCCACTAACCGCTCTCCTCCCATCAGTCGTTCAGAACCGCATCACGGCCTTCTGGTTCAAAGGGAAGGAGCTGGCCTTGGCGTTCGGCCTGACCCTGGCCTTCTCTCGACTGGGTTCGGTCCTGAACTTCTTCCTCACCCAGAAGTTTGAAGAAAAGCACGGCATGCAGTGGACGCTCTGGGGTGGTAGGTGGTTAATAAAAAAGAGCCACGGCGTGAGTACGCCAGGGGAAAAGGTTGAACTAACGGCGTTCCCACGCGATCCGTACCAGGTGCCGTTCTGTGCGTGCTGGGCTTTGTGTCCGCCGTTGTCGTCAGTGCCCTGGACAAGATCGGCATGAGGCAGCTGGGTCTGGATGGCGCCATCCGAGAGGAGTCCCGCAAAGTGGTACGAACTGTACCTTTAAAAAAAGAAGAAAAAAAGGTGTTTGAATATACATTTAATTGTTTGTGTGTGTGTGTGTGTGTATAGAGGATTCAGGATGTGAAGCTCCTGTCGCTAAGATACTGGCTGCTGGTTCTCACCATCATGTTCTTCTACAACGGCATCTTCCCCTTCATCGCCGATGCCAGGTAGACCCGCCTGCACGCGACCCAGTTCATAAACACGTAAAACTACGTTTCTCACGTCCGGCCGTCTTTTTTTTCTTTCTTTCTTCCGTCCAGTAAGTTCATTCAGGATAAATACGACGGCTACAGCCAGAAGGAGGCGGCGTACGTCGCCGGCGCGGTTTACGACAGCTCCCTGGTCCTGTCCGCCTGCGTGGGCATTCTCATTGTAAGCATCTGCAACTTACAGCTGTATCTGAACCCAAAGTTCAAAGGTCAGTATTGAGGAGGTAAGGTTGGTGTGAGACGCCCCCCCCCCTCTCTCGTGGTGTTTTTTTTTCCAGGACTACGTGGGGCTGCGGGGCGCGTTCGCACTGGCATGTGCCCTCCTCACGCTGCCGGTGTTCGGACTGCTGGCCTTCACCTTCGTGGCTCCTCTGGTCTCCACCATCTGGCTCGGGGTCACCTACTCCTTCGCTGCTGTGAGTTTGCGCCGAAGCCGTCCTCTTTCTCTACTGGAGCCCTTCGGGGCGGGGAAATGAAAAGGGAAGCGCGACGGCGCTCCATCTTCATTGGAACACATCTGTATTCCAGGCCAGCATGTGGCCGTCCATCCCCCTCGTGGTGCCTCAGGCGACCCTGGGGACCGCCATGGGCCTGGCCACCTCCATACAGATGGTTGGAATCGGGTTGTCGAATCTCGTCGTCGGGCAGATCTTGGGCAGCAAGTCTAGGTGAGTGAAATGCTTCAGATGAGGATCGAATGCTGAATGTTGGATCTTTACTCACCTCCAATTGTTCCTCCACTTTCCCCGGGCAGTGAAACCAAGATCCCGCTGTGGCGCTGGCAAAGGATGATGATCTTCATGTTGGCCAACACCGTCAGCTGCATCGTCACCTCGGTGCTGCTCAACGTTGTCGACCACCGACAGGTCAGACGTCGCTCGGCCTGCGCGCGGCGCTTTACACGCGTGTCCGCTGACTGCAGCGCAGTGTGTTTAGGTGACGTCCTGTTTCTCTGCAGGGCGGCCTCCTGAACAAGTCGACCAAGAGGTCGCGCCAGGCGGAGGAGGACCCCGACAGAGAGCCGCTCCACCCGGCAGAGGAAGAGCACCGCGAGGATGAGGAGGACCGGGCGGCCAGATCTCCTTCCATCAACTCCTAAGAAGAAGTTGTTTCAATTTTTTTTTTTAATTGAGTTCAGATATTTGTCTTTTTAAAAATGCATTTTTCATACCGTTCGAATGGAACTTAATTCATTGTACATCTCTCTGACCCCATTACCTCTACATTCTGTGTCTGCGGCGTCCACTGCAGGAAATAGAGCAGTTCAATCAAACTGAATCATCCGTATAAAATGTGGAAATTGTGTGTGGGTTGCTTTTTAAAAAATGATTTCATACTGAAACAGTGAAACATTTGAACCTCCTGTTTGTTTATTGTTGGAGGTTTCATAATGTACGTGAAGAAGGGGCTTTGCTTTTTGAATGAATACATAAAAAGCTCTCGTGCATGGATCAGTGTGTGTAGCACCCTGCAGCCAGCAGATAGAGCTCTTAGCACATCTGTTACGATGGATACGGCCGATGCTCCGGCAGTAAGCGTGACATTATAAAATGTTTTGGGTGTACACCAAATATCCTTGCTGTGACCTTTAAGTAATCAAACATTCATTCAATTGCTCTTTTTTTATTGCATGAAAATAGAAAACAAGCTCCAACTAAAGTAAAAAGCAGCAGAACTGACAAATCCTCTAAAAATGATACAGACTGGGACTGTTTAATAGTGGGTGAGCTTAGTTTTATTAGTCAATTCCTACGGGTGAACTCGTCTACTCCCGTCAGCAAAAGGTTTGCAATATTTCAATGTTTTATAGACATTTTGCCTCCTACATCTTTAAGCGACTTTTTGTGACAGAGTCACAAAGTAAAAAGTTTTTGGTATTGAGCTTTGATTCAGAGCAGATTAAAGCAGAGATAAATAAAAGCAATCACATGTGCACTATTTGCAGTAGGAGGGTCAGCAAAGGTTCACGTATGAAGTACTTTGCGTCCATCATTGTTTTCAGTCCTAATCCAAAAGATGGAGACGCGCATTAAATGAAATCAAAAGGTTGCCGCGCGCGTAACTGGATGATACAATAGAGCTCGTAATCTTCTTAACCGGATTACCGGAGCGATGTGATCCCATGTGACGACGAGCAGAAGTCACTGGAAAGGAAGCGAGCAGGTTACCTCCTCTGTTTACCACCAAGATAAACCCTAAAAATATACCTCACCTAATCTCCTTAAGGGGCGTGCGATAGGAGTTAGTCCTCTCTCAGCCGGCTCCCGGTCGGCCAGTCGGTCTCAGAGGTCGACCCGACCCCTCGCCGCTGCGTTCAGACGAGAAAGGGCTTCGCGCCGACACCTCCATCCGGGTCCGCTTTATGGTTTCTCAGTTGGCGTCCGTCTGCAGCCTGAACACGCGCGGCCCGAAGCCTTCCAGCGCTCCGGGCATGTCGGGCCTGCTCAACCTCAGCAGCCTGGGGAGGATCTGCGGCTCCGGCAACAGCAACGAAATGGTGGTTTTGGACCGGGTCAAGAGGAAGAACTCGGTCAGGCGCATGTCCATCATCGAGGACGGGGAAATCGCAGAGATTCTCTACCTCATCCCTAAACAGTCCATGATGGAGCAGCTGCCCTTCATCAACCCCGACGACTACGTCCTGTGTGAGAAGTTGGACGGGATACCTCCGGAGATGTCCGGTAAAGAACCGTCCAGATGCTTGTGTGCTTCTCACGGGGATCTCGATAACTTGTCTTTACAGTCTGCAATATGGCGAGAACTTCTTTTTTATTTCCGTCAGGGAAAAAGGCTGAACACGGATTAGATTTAACATCTTCTGTCTGCTTTGTTCTTATTTAATAACGACACGTGACTTAAGAAGTCAGAAAAATACCACTTAATGTGATCATTTAATGATCTGTACCGAGTCCCATCATAGACACACAAGTAGTACGAAGTGCAGCTTCAGAAGCACATTGCCACTCCCACAGCCCACGCGCACACACACACACACACACACACACACACACACACACACTCCCTCTGTGTGTATTTGGACCACCCCCTTTCCCCCTGAACCAGCAGCCCACTTAGCTCGTCTCCTCAGTGGGATCCAGTGAGCAGATGAGCCGACACCAGCGGCCATGAAAGAGGAAGGTAGACGTTTTCAAGTGTGTGTGTGTGTGTGTGTGTTTGTTTGTGTGTGTGTGTGCTTTATGTTTACCTTCAAGAGCTTAGGAGTTGTTTGCGACTCGTGATGCCGTCGTTTGAGTGATTTAAAGGTCAAAACCAATTGTGACGTTGTCCACACTGCTCTGGCGGGTTGCGTCATACTTCTGCTTGTTATTCATTCGTGTTTAACACCGTGTTGTTTTCACCACACAAACAATGATGGTTGCCAAGTGAGGTAAAGTGCAACGCCAGCTGTTAAAGGGTTAAAACCAGCACGGGATGCAAAGCGATACCTCTGAATTTCTCTGGGATTATTCTACTTTACAGAATCATTAACACACAAATGGTAGAATGAGCGAATAGTTCATGTACACGCTGATATCATTCAAAGGGTGACGTCGTGCTATGGCTAATACTTAAGTCCTAGAATGAGGTATATTTACATTTAAATAGATATTTTTATATGTGGAGATACTGCGTTGGGTGATTAACTGCCCGTCTCAGGTTTCTCACCGTTCGCTCTCTTTCTAAATCTACCATTCGCTAATACTTCACACCGTCTCAGCTTCACGTCCTGACAAAGATCAAGAAAGAGCACTGAAAGTACACTTTCACCACACAAATATGTACCACACATTGTCTATATATCGTAGTTTATAACCTGTGCGTGTTCTCCATCAACCCAAACGAAACGTTTTGTCCCTCCCATCTGTCATTAACAAATACCTGAGGCCTTCTTGCACAAAGGCTAGTTCGGCTGATCAGGGTGATGAGATATTGATTAACAATCTCCATCGCTTTCCAGCAGCTGTGGACGTCCTCGGTCCCGTCGGCACCACATAACGTGCGTCTTCCCAACCAGACCATCGTTCCCAGAGAGCTTCATATTGACCTTTTTTTGGAGGCATGGTCCCTTAATCTAGTTGGTTGCTTATGCTTGTTGCCGTAGTAACTAATCTCTGCTGTCGTGGGGCAGATCCGGGGCCACATACCAACGCGCTTGACTCGATTTCCTCCGTATTCACGAGGCTGAGCTGGGAAACTTTTCCCAACATTCCAACCTTCTGCTGTTAGTGTGGGGGAATCAAAACGCGTACCCACACACACACACACACACACACACACACACACACACACCTGGTTATCTCTGACAGGAGTGCACATGAAGCTAAGGAGAGGTGAAGCTCGCTCGTTCATCTATTTGTGTGTCTGCACGTCGCTGCCGGCGACATTCTTTCCCCCCTCCCTCCTCTGCTGATCACGTTGGGGTCCAACGTGGACGGGGGTCAGATTGTGGGGACGTCCACGGCTCCTGCTGCTAAATCAAACGTGCAAGAGGCCGAAGTAGAAGGAACAAACGTCTCGCCGCGTATGCTAAGTTTAGCGTGCTACGTAACCGTGTTCCATGTTTAACAGTCTAGTGGAGGAGCAGCTAACACGCTTAGAGACCCGTGATGGAATGTAACAAAGTACATTTACTATGATGAGTGTTTTTTCTAGTATATTTGAATGACTTATACTTGGATTAATACTTCATTAAAAGATGTGAGTAACCTTCTTTTGTAACTTTAGTTTGAAAATAAGACGTTAAAACTAGCAGATAGATGGCAGTGTGCAAACAGTACTACATGCTGCTCCAGGACTGTCGCTTCATTAAATTCCTAAAGGCAAATAAATCCTTTGTCAAAGACGCAGCTGATTCCTGTGTTCCTCCCTCCGGTGCAGGGCTCCATGACCTGGACGGCTCCCAGCCGTGTTCCCCCGGGGGGAAGCGTGTCATCCGGTGCTTTAGATGTGGGGAGCCGTGCAAGGGTCAGGCGCTGCGTGTGCAGAACAGCCACTTCCACGTAAAGTGCTTCACCTGCAAAGGTGAGTGGCACCGTCAAACGTCAGTTGTTTTAATCTGAGAGGGAATTCGCTGCTCGTTCGTTCAGTCAGTCACATTCAATTTATTACAAAATATTCTGCGTCGGCTGACCGGCTGTTGTGAGGCGGCCTTTTCTCCAGAGGAAAACACATTTCCCCCAGCAGGCCATTGTCCCCGCTAATCGGAACGGGCACAAGAGACAAAGAGACTCAGAGAACAGGGGCCTCCAGTGTTTTAAACGGTGGGAAGACCTGGAACTCCGAACCTTCAAAAAAAATCCAATTCAACAACTCGCACAGTGGAAAATAAATTGTCATTTTAATTGAGTTTAAAATGATTTGGAGAAACTTGTGAGTCATTTATTTAAACAATCTCGGCGGAATTTCTGTCGGCGTGTTGTATAATTGTTATTATTGACTTAAAATTAGCATTTTCTAAAAATAAAACCCCCGTGTGCTGCGAGTGTGTCGCACTCGGACGGGAATAGAGCAGCACGGATCCGTCCTTGGCGTCTTTGCCGTTTGTCCTTTGCATTCTGTCGAGGCTCAGAGGGACGACGTTGTGTTGTGTGATATCAAATGACTGAACGAGCCGGAAGGAAACAATATAAAAACACTGCAGAAACCGATGGAATAAATAGGATTCATCTCCTTGATGGATTAATCGTTTAAAGAAATACAGCATGAAGTCACAAATACTTTTCCAATGCTTAAAAAAAAAACAAAAATGTAAAACACAATGTTAGCAAATTACACAAGTTGATGAAGGCAAGGCAATTCTATTTGTATAGCGCTTTTCATACACAAGGCAGACTCAAAGTGCTTCACATCATAACATTTCATACAATAAAGTGAAATAAAATGCAGGAATTAAAAGACAATTTAAAAACAGCAAATAAAATTATAAATTAAAATCTTATTTAAATTGTTTAATTAAAGGCAGAGGTTAAAAGTGCAATGTAGGTAAAATTTAGCAGAAGGCGAAGCTGAACATAAAAGTTTTCAGTCTTGTTTTAAACGTGGTCAGAGTTGGGGCAAGTCTTACATCTTCAGGAATTTTATTCCAGCTGTTTGTTGCGTAGTAATGAAGGAGAAAAACTTTGGCTTTTATTCTTTCAAATTAATAATTGATGATAATTATTGACCAGTAATCAATTGCAAATAAAAGCAAATTCCTGAAAACATCCTTTTTTAACAGGCTTTAACTGAACGTGCTAAAAATAATACAGATTAATACAAATAATACAACAGATTATGACAGCTCCACTGTTTTCTGTGTGTGTGTGTGTGTGTGTGTGCGTGTGTGTGTGCGCGTGCGTGCGTGCGTGCAGAGTGCGGCTGCGACCTGGCTCACAGTGGCTTCTTCATGAGGACCGGGGACTACCTCTGCCCGCTGGACTTCCAGAGGCTCCACGGCACGCTCTGCAGCAGCTGCGGGGACTTTGTGGAGGGCGCGGTGGTCACGGTCCTGGGGAAGACCTACCACCCGGCCTGCTTCGTGTGCTCCGTCTGCAAGTGAGCACAAGTACCGCCGTGGGAATTTGGAGGCCGAAATGCCGGTGGCTTTTCCGCCCACCAAAGAATCGTCTCTTTCTCTTTTTCGCAGAGAGCCTTTTCCTGCCGGGGATTGTGTGACCTTCAGCGGAAAGGACTGCCTCTGCCAGCGCTGCGTCCGACCCCCGTCTCCCACCCCCCACGACGTCAGCTGGTCCGGCAGTGAGTGTTTCATCTGGACATCTAATCCAAGCGTTCACATCAAAACTATGTACTAATGAAGCTTTAGAATTACCTCTGCGATCATCGGACGGTGGATGTTGCCTTTAAAGTCCTGTCTTTCTGCCGGGAACCCGCCGGGCCAATGACTCGTCTCCATCTCAGCGTGACCTCGTCCAACAGGACAGCGATCAATAGAGGACTCAGTCTCATGAAGCCTCAGGATTAGCAGGATATTTTAGTGCAGAAAGAGGCCTATTTATAGCGAGAATGTACACCAACAACCCGTATGGATGTAGAATGTTGTTGAACGCGTGTGTGTGTGTGTGTTCTTAGACTGCTCGGGCTGCGGGAGAGACATCAAGAACGGCCAGGCTCTGGTGGCGCTCGGAGGCCAGTGGCACCTCGGCTGCTTCAAGTGTAAAGCCTGCAGGAGAATGCTGAGCGGAGAGTACATCAGCAAGTAAATACGTAATTTCTTTCTCTGCCGACCCTCGATTCACCGTTTGTTTGCATTGATGAAGAAATGTCAGGATTAGAAACGACGTTGGCACCTTGCACATCTGCTTTAATATCAAACTTGTGACCTTCCAGGGATGGCTTTCCATACTGCGAGAGGGACTACCAGATCCAATTTGGGGTTCAGTGTGAAGCATGTCAGAAGTTTATAACTGGGAAAGTCCTCGAGGTGAGAAATCTCTGCTTATAGTCAAGCGTGTGCTGCTGATCGAAAGTTCCTAATCTGACCCTTTGGCCTTTCTCCTCTCCTGCTGCAGGCGGGGGAGAGAAACTATCACCCCAGCTGTGCCAGATGCAGCCGATGTGACAAAATGTTCACGGAGGGCGAAGACATGTACGTGCAAGGTCAGTGGCCGAGGCTCGCAGTGGAAACGCCCTCTTACGCGCTGTGGTTTCCTCTTTGCGATAACGCCGCTGCCCCTGCAGGGTCGACGGTTTGGCACCCGGACTGCAGAGACGGCAGCAGAGCGGAGGACGGCTTCGTGGTACGTTAACGCCCGAGTCGTGTGACGTGCATGCAATTAAATGAGTCTCAGAAAGAACACGCAACCGTAAGATTTCTACCGTGTCACAAAATCAACCGTATAACCTCTCAAAACAGCCGTGATGTGGTTGACACGTTCTCTTCCATCCCAGGTCAACAGGCCAAAAACAGCAGGTCTCGATTTCTTTTTCCCGCATCATAAACTCAAGGTTAATATTGGAAGCGCAAGTGCCGTTTGCGCTGATGATTTTCCTAGAACGAGCGGGCTGCCGTCTCACTGTTTGAGATTAACCGCACTCGCTTTGCTCTCCTGGATGGCCAATTACATCTCCAGACGTGCGGCTTCAAGGGAGCGCACAGAAGACACTTTTGATACAGAAATAACTTCAATCCTTGTTCGAGGGCCTCGGTAAAAGGAGCTTCTATTTTGGAGGGCACCTGTAATGCATACATAAAAGTTAGTCTGGACATGTGAGGTTTCACACCTTTGCTAAATTGCATCACGCGTCGTCCACTTGTGCTGACAGCCACCATTGTGTGACGATTGTCCCATCTGAAGACAAATCAGGCTCTTATCATTATTAATTACTGATGGTTTCAATCTTGTTAAACTAATTACAACACGGACTTATTAACATAAACTGCATGACCGCCTGTTTAAATCTTAGTGTTTTCTCTTGATTTTTCGTAGCCTCCGATGAGTCAGACTAACAGACCCCCCCCCGCCCCCCCCCCACACACACACTTCTGCCTCTTTTTAGCCCACGACATCCTCGTCTGAAAGCTCCTTCTCCAGGCCCGGCTCGTGCACTCCGGGGAGTCCTGGTCGGACCATCTGTGTAAGTTCTAGTAAAAACGTCTGCTTCCACATGTTGTACAATCCACCGTGGCTTGATTTCATTTACATCTAATTGATCCTTTATTTGTACAGGGGAACCGCATGGACTGAGTGTCTCTCATGATCTTGATTTTTTTAAACAAAAATATTTAAAAAAATAAAACTAGAATTTTAAAATCAAATATACATTTCTACACCATATCTTTTCAACTGGACCTTGACTGATTGGAACTAGTTTTTATCTTGTGAGGAAACGAAAGCATTTCAAAAGGTGGTTGAATGAACCTTTCAGTTGTCTCAAATCAACCACATTGATCCAGAATCTTGATTTATTGGCTTGCTCTATTTTAATTCCCTGGCAATCCAGTTTCAAATTTGATTCTAAACGCGTTCCAATGCTTATTATTTCCTCCACGTAGTCTATTGTGATTATTGTGAGGAATGAACTTTAACCCCATAGAAACATCTGGGAAGATTTGAGCCAAAAACAATTCGAGAAAAAGAAAATGGGTAAATATCAAAACAAGATTTAACGTTAATCTGTCCACCTTTTGTGCAAAAGTCTTTAACTTCAACGGCTCGTCTTCTGACCAAGTGTGGTGGCGGGATTAAAGTTTAAATCCTCCCTAAAATCATGTCTTAGGTAACCTCTGACCTTTGACCTGTCGTGACCCCTCCCGTCTTCTCCTTCTGTGTCCCTCCTCCCTGTCCTGGTCACAGGCAAAAGTAGATAATGAGATCTTTGATTACCGAGAATTAGCAGCCATTCCCAGAGTCAAGGCTATATTCGATATAGAGCATCCCGATATGATGTCCTATGAGTCTGTGGACTCCTCCTCTACTTTGGACAAGAAAGGCGTCAGACCGGAGCGGCGGGGCCCTGCACAGGTAACTTGGTTCGGTGCTCACAGGTGTTGCTGCTGACTTGTTTGTGTGTGTGTGTGCTGTTCGCTCCCCGTTTGTTGTTGTGTTGATGGATCAAACACCGTGTGCTATGTGGTTCTTCCCTCGAACAGAGCGACTTCAGAGCGTGTCTGCATGCACAGTTACTAAGAATAACCGGCTACAGGGGCCTTCCTGATCAAATCCTTTTGTTTCCTATTTACCCGTCTGTCTTCATGTGAAAAACACGTGATTCTTCAGTCAGAGATTAAAAGATTACACCAATTGTAAATCCCTTTAAACGTTTTTAATGACGTGGTTTTCCTTGTATGTATTTCTTGTAAGTATGTTTTGTTTCTGGTTTATACGTTTGTTTTTTCTTCTTCTGTTCTGATTTAGTCACCAGGAAATGCGTCTGAAACCACCGAGGTGAATACATTTACTTTACTAAATGTGTTTTGTGCGTTCAACACTGGCTCTGAGTCTTCTTTCTTTCAAGGAGGGTTTTGAAGTCAAACATTTCACGCCAACACCCAGAAGACCTGCGTCCTCTGGGGATCGCGGGACACGCAATCGCCACAACTACACGCCAAATCTGTCCAGATCCCCTCAACACTTCCACCGGCCCGGTAAGAGGAACTAAACTAGAATCACCTCAATCACTCACCTCCTGTAAATGCAACAACCTTCCCCTTGCTCCCCCCTTTTCCCCTCTGTTTTACCTCTTCTCCTCGTCTCCTTTACCTCCACAACCCCTCGCTCCCCTTCTGTGGTGGAATAACAAACAGGAGTGACGCGTTCTTCCTCTTTATTATCTGGCAACAAAGACACACGCATCACTTCCCCTTTATGTCACCACTCCCCCCCCCATAACAAAGGTAAGAGGCTCTTCTCCCCCCCACTGGGGGTCACTCATGCACCCTTTCACCCACGTGTGTGTATCTGCTTTAAGTTGCCATTTATATGACACTTCATTGGTAGGAATGTCGAGGCCTCTAGTGGCCAAAGACTCTTTTATATTAGACATTGTGGAATAAACAACACCCTATATGCTTAATTCAGATAATACACAGATGTCCTTTCCCATTTTGCATATCTGACATGAGCCTAGTTTTTGGTTCTAATTCGAACTCCGAAGGAAATAATCCTTGATATAAATATAGATCAAAGAAGGTATTTGCAGATTTGAGTGATTAAATAAATAATTATTCCTGCTCTCTGCTTCTCTCACATGTTGCTCTGTTCCCGTGCTTATTTATAGCAGTGCTGCGGTTGTTCTAAAGCCTTTTCATCATGTGTGGCTGAGATGTGAGTGGCATGTGGGCGGAAACAACTACACGTAATTCATTTTTACTGCACTTTTTACTTTATCAGAGAAGACGAACTCTAACGCCAAAAGACAATAAATTCAAATGCACAAGTTTGAAACATTAAAAGGGAAAGAGGCGAAACGTATTGTTTTGTCCCTGCTGTGATATTTAAGAATAATTGTCTGCTGACGCGGCGTTCCTTTCTATTTACAGACGAAGGCTTCAACATGTACAGGAGGCCTCCGATTTATAAACAGCAAGGTGCGATATCATCAAGTTCATTGGGCCGTAGCTGCGAACGTAAGGCGGCGCCGAGGTGTCGGCGTTTGACAGAACAATTAGCGAAGGACTGAGAAGAGGAGCTTACGTTCTTCTCAGTAAGTGCGGTCTAATTCCGTCGCCTCGCGATGAGCTAATCCGTCTGCCGCTTCACTTTCCCGCAGATACACATTTCACCGCATCCCAAACGGCCTCGCTGCCCGGATACGGTCGCAACGACCTCAATCCGGTACGACCGGTTGCCTGTTTGTATTCCTTTATGTTTGTTCAAACTGCTACTTGATGTCTCCTCTGTTTTCCATCCTCTCCTCATCCAGCCACCGTCAGCTGACCTCCCCCCCGGCGACGGATCCAGAGGTTGGTGCACGTCGGCAGCTTCGTCGCCCACATTGTTCAACACCACTTTACCAACTCGGTTAATAACTCGCTGTAAACTAATTGGCGTCGCCTGTTCTTTACTCCTTTCCTCAGAGTTTAAGGTATGTGGGGAGAGCTTTGAGTGGTCTTGAATCCTCCGATCCTACTTCCTTTCCTCGTTTGGTTAAGTGCGCTTCCAAAGGACCGACCTCATCTCACTCCCTGCATGAGCCTGTTTTATGAAGTATGTATTTAACTGCTTCAGCCCAAAGTCGTAGTTACAGCTTGCAGTTGTCTCCATTGATGGACGCGTGACACTGTTTGCATAACTGACTGTTTGCATAACCGTGCACTTTCTAAAACACACCTTCTTGCAGTAAAACGTTTTTTAGCCTTGACGTGATTAACGTAGCCGTGGCATTTCCCCAACGCACGTTTTTGCTTCATCCTGCAGCTCTTCCGCGATGGTCAGCATGCATTAGCACGAACGGACAGAGGAGTGTCGATGCCTAATTTGTTGGAACCAAAAGCAAGTACTTTTGTATATTCACATGTACTGGAGGAGAGTTTTTACTGCAAATACTTGTAATTCTTTGTACATATAAGCACACTTGGAAGGTTGCATGACAGATTGAAAATAATAACAACAGGTTTCCTTCATCATCGTCTGTTTAAAAAAAAAAAAAGTATGTTAAAATAGTGTTTTTTTCCCGGCTAACGGAGCCGATTGTTGTATTTTCCCTGAAGGCTGAAGCACTGGTTCTATAGAGCGCTGCTGTGCACGGATAACATGCATATTTGCACGGCACATGACACTCAAATGGTATTTTGTATCTGAATACCTCATTGAGTGCACGAAAGATTGTGTTAGAGTGCGATCTTCAATAATCATAAAGCGTTCTCAACCCGTCTTTTTCTCCTTGTTTTATGAAGCTCTACCCATATGAGCTCTTAGCTGTAAGTAGTAGAGGACGAGTGAAACTCCCCAGCGACGTTGACCGGACAAGACTTGAGGTACAGTGTGAGAGGAGCATCACAACCTACATGGACAAACCTTCTCGCAAATTTACATTTTTTTAACAAAACATCTTCACTCTAAACTGACAAAATGTTAAAACGAGATGAGAGCAAACCTCGTTTTTCTTCTTGATTTAAAAACAGACCCACAGAGTAACTTTATTCCTCCTCGCTTTCCTTTGCAGCGCCACCTTTCCCCGGGGTCGTTCTTTCAGATCTTCGGCATGGGCCTTCAACAATTTGACCTGCTTCCGCTGTGGAAACGTAACAATATGAAGAAGAGGGCAAATCTTTTCTAAATGCCACCTAATGCATTTCTTCATTACTAATATGCGGTACATGTCATTTTTTGCCCCTTGAGTTTTTTCTTTGCATTTGACACAAAAGTTTTATATTTTCTTGCTTATAAACTGGACGGATTTAGTTTAGTTTATGAAGACTTGTAATAATGTTTGAAATGTATAATACGTCGGCAGATATGAACACGAGAACTCAACTTGCTACATTATTGAAATGTCCAAAATAACTAGAGAGGGAGGGATACAGAACATGTGGTTAATGTCTCAACGTGTACGAAGAAGTATTTCCCTGCTCGCCTCCTGGAAATTAGGAAATGATTGACTGCAGAACACAGCGTTTGAGCGAGGTCACTGTGTTTAAAGTCACTCATTCATGTCGGAAACGGCTGGACAGCGGTTTCAAATGATTCTGTCCCAAGTGAAAACCTTTGGAGATCAGGATTATTAAGCTTTATGAAGCTTATTGAGCACAATGCGTCATGATACCCGACGTGTTTCAGTACATCAAATGTTAATATCTTGTCATCAATGTAATTCTGAGACATAATATGAAACAACTCAGTGTTGTCACTGTTACTTCACTGTTACTTACATGTTACATTATTTTATTTTTTTTATTTAGGGGATTCACACTTTATTGAACATAAAAATGAAAAGAACATTATTGAGAATGTTTATTCCACCAAATCAATGAAACGTGCTAAAGAGGGTTATTAAAGGAATAATTAGAAGGATTTTACTTTTTTTTTTCCTGATTTAAGTCATCAATCAATGTATAAGTCACCTTGACACTGCTCCCCCATCACACCAAATAAAATCTCCCTCCTACAATTTAAAAAAGGCCATGTCTTTTTATTGACACAATAAATCAGGTTGTGTGTTTGCAACAAGGAGTATTTTTAGGTGAACCTGGCAGAATAATACTAGTTTTCCGATCACTAACTTGGAAAAGGACTATTAATAAAAAAAATACTTCAATGAATATCAGCCCCTCTTGATCTGCTTTTAATCGTGTCGATCTGTCAAAATCCAGAGACGCAAAGGGGTACTGAAGGACAACCAGGGGACGATCAAAGCATTCAGTGTTTTGACATTTACCCGCTATCACAAAAATAAATATGGATTTTCTAGTGTGAGCAAAGCTTTGATAAGACAGCAAAGTGGTGATCCAATATGTTGCAAAACATGTCAACGTTCTATTAAAGGGACAACCTTGATTTACGCTCCATATTTTCACTCCCCAGTTCACTCGATTCCCTTCTACCTCACCTGGATTCACATTTGGTTTTGCTCTGACACGTTTTTTTTATATCATGGTTTTATTTCTTTTTCCGTCTCACAGTCAGATCTGTTGCCTATTTTAGGCCAACAGATGGTGCTCTGGAGCCTCCAACCGAAACACCTCTCGGGGACCCTTCTCCCTGTTTAAAATGAACATTTTACAGGCTTTGTCTAAGCTTGTATTGGGGAATTGTATTTCAGATGTTGTTTTTCTTAACTTGCATCGAACTAAATGTAATTTAATAATAGTCCTTGTGTAAAAAATGATTAATGATGTATTGAGTTGTTGTTCACCTGCTCTCATTTATTTAAAAGTAGGTCATAGTGTATTTGAACTTCAAATAATCAAGGTGTTATTATCATTAAAGTTATGTGCAGTGTGTATCAAGTAACGCAATAGCATATTATTTTCATCTAAGGCAACGCCGTTTAGACTGTTACGGTTTAGTAATGTCACTTTTTAGTCGGTTGGATACTCTGAAATGTTTGGAGAAAATAACTTCCCCAGTTTTACTTTTTTTAATGGTCTACTGCCCTTTTATGGATTTTAAAGACTAACAACCTCCCCTCTCGACAAAAACATCAGCTAAAGAAACAATCTCTCTTCTGAATAAACGTGGTCTTTTCATTCGGAAGTGACAAATATTATCTCAGGCTAATTTTAACAACATCACAGCGGCACAGAGACGTTGTTATTTGTTATCACGGGCCCTTTAAAGCCCACCTAGCATGAGCGAGAGCACGGGAGATTTTAGAGACTTCCTATTGGTCGGTCCACACACGGCCCTGCGAAGTAGGCGTGCGTGATTGGCTGAGGCGGCCCGTCACTCACCGCTCCGCACTCTCTCCCCCCGAGCGGCACCTCCCCCTTGTAGGATTTCCACGCAACAAAAAAAAAAAAAAAAAACATCCCCCCACACACACACACACACACACACACACACACATCAACCCGTAGACTTCGAACCGGAGCCAGCGGGGGGGAGAGAACGGTGCTACGGAGGACGGGCACCGGACGCGAGGCTTCCAGCGGCGCGACGGCCGAGTCGATGGCGCTTGTTTCTAAAGTTGGACAACGGTGATCGCCCCCCCCGGAGAGAGAGAGAGAGAGACGTTAGAAAGTCGATCTAACGGCGATGAATGCGGTGTCACCCGCGAGGGAAGAGGACGGGGGGAGAGAGAGAGAGAGAGACGGAGTGGACTCGCCGTTCCGCACCCGATGGAGGCTGTCGGGACCCTCGCCGTGAGCCGGAGGCCCGGGACGTCACCTGCGAAACGTCGACACCGCGTCGGAGGGCGTCTTTAAAGGACGAGAGCTCGCGCGCGCGCGCGCACACCTGTCCGCTCCTGCGAGAAACTCACCTGAGAACTTCGTAGGAAAAAAAAAAACCCCAAAAAAGTTTGCAGGTCGGCGTTGGCCGCGGGAGGCGGTTCTCTCCCCCCCTTTCCCTCCCCCCCCTTCCCGGACGAGATGCCAATCATAGGTGACACTTAACGGGAGGTTATTCTGCGCCTCAGGTAACCGGACAGGTGAACGAGCCACTGGTTCCTATCAGATGCACTTCAGGCTTCTCTCGGGGAAACGTGCGATGTTTCACCGGCTGTAAGTTGACGTTGATCTGTTTTTTTTTTGTTTTTGTTTTTTGCCTCATCAAGCGTCGTCATGTCACTCAAAGACAATTCATGTCGGAAATTTCAAGCCAACATTTTCAACAAAAGCAAATGCCAGAACTGCTTCAAGCCCAGAGAATCCCACCTGCTGAACGACGAAGACCTGAACCAGGTGACACACACACACACACACACACGCACACACACACGCACACACATGGAGATTCCAATCAGACGCTGCATCATAGTACCTATATTACTGTCAAAGCGATAGTGAAAGAGTGTGTGAATGTCCCACGCAGAGCAAAGGTTGGGGCTTATTAGACATAATTATTTCCCAGCCCAAGGACGTATGTTGACCTCAATTCATGCACCCAGAACCTCCACCTGCCCCCGCTGGCTCGCGCCTTTTGAGGTTGCAGTCTGTGAAATCTTCATTTTGATTTGGCCCCTCGTGCTGCAACGCCTCCGCAGCGCTTCCTTCCTTCCTCCTGCTGCTGCTGCGTCCCATCGGCCGTGTTCACAAACCCAGACGTCCCGGCGAGTGGCTTGTAAACGGCGACATCGGGCCACCATCTGATGGTCGGTCGTCTCCGTGGCGACGGGCTCCCCTGGGTGAGATGTTTAAGGGAACCTCCGGCGCGTTGAAGTGAACGACGCCTCCCTTGGTCGTCTTGGTGGCCGACACCTCCTCTGCTGGGATGGAAATTGTCTCGCAGTTATTTGTTCTTCTCTGTGGAATTTCTGACCCACCGGCTATCGACCGTAGCCTTTGACCCCCCCCCCCTCTCTACCCCACCCCGCCCCCTTCTTTGGAGTCTGACCACTAGAAGATACGGAGGAGATGCCGATGCTGTTCCACCAAAAGCAGAACCCCGTTGGTGCAGTTTCACCTGTGGGGTTGATAGGGTTAAGAAGGCGGGGCCGGGGGGGGGTCAGGGGGGCAGTGGGGCATCTCAAAAGGCTTTGTTTATCGACAGAGTCATTGAAGGGTAAAAATAATGGTCCAGATCCATCTCGACCGTTCGTCTCTCCCAGGAGGACTCGCCGTTTGTGCCGCTGTCGGATCATGTGAGGAAAGACGGGACACTCGGCCCGAATTAGACTAAAGGGGGGCTGGTGTCCCGATATTAGTGGGATTCCTCTCAACACTTCTTTCAACCTGCAGTCCCATTATCAAACATCTCCTCTAACAGGCCCGTCCTTCAAAAGTCAGGTAGTGTTCCCGGTCTGAAAGCGCTCGTCAATGTCAGAGGTCACAGCTGGGCCTCCGATGGGAACCCCCCGATATTCTACCAAACCACCGAGGAAAAGAGAAACGTCCTCTTTAGTGGGTTCTACCCATGAGATGACGTCGTGGCTGTAATCCAAGCCCGTGATTGGTGGGCACGGAGGTGCCAGGCGGCTTTGAACCGCGTTGTGACTCCAGTCGTCGTTTTGGAGGTGAGGGCCGAGCGCAAACACATTTCGTAAAAAGGTAAAAAAGGTGGTGCGCTCTTGTGCACACAACCTTGCAGCGGCTGGGTTACGCAGAAGCCGCTGAGCAAACAAGGGCCCGACTTTGCCGGTGTGGCAAAAGTTCAAGATCGCACCCGAGCGATTAAAGAGCGGCCGCAAAGGGCCCGACTCGCCTTCCTCAACGCGCGAGTTTGAATTGCAAATCTAGAGCCACAAAGAGAGGAAAAAAAAAGCTCCCAGGCTCTGTGCTGCTTCTGTTTCTCATCCACGGTTTTTCTTGCTAACCTGTGCCTTTTGCTTCCCCCCCCCACACACACACACACACCTCCACCCACTTAGAGGATCAGAGGAAAAATCATGTGTTCGGCCTTTTCCTTTTTTCTCCCCAGGGTGCTCTGGAACGCAGCCAGGCTGATGCACACCTTCCCCGCGTCGCGCTAAGCCGCGCGTCCTTGCGGTCCCGTGCGATACGGGGACACAATTTAGACGCAATGTGAATTAAAAAAAGGTGAACGTTAAAGTGCCCGCTGTGTTTTCCTTCTCCAGGCCAAGCCTATATACGGGGGCTGGTTGCTGCTGGCACCGGAGGGGACAAACTTTGACAACCCGCTGCACAGATCTCGGGTAAGTGGCTCCTTCGCCGGACTTCCGGTTCCTTGTGTTCGGCACTTTGCATTCGAGCAGGGGCAAAGGCCCAGCGAGTCGAGGCGCGGGCTTCTCCTCTAATGTTCGTTTCCCGTGTGACGTCTGGGCAACCGGGAGGTCTGGTTATTGTGACTCCTCTGGCTTCCCGTGTGGGGGGGTTTGTTTGGGCCTTTTCTATCAGAAGAAGTCTTCCGCTCCCGCAAATAATGAGCCTAATATTGACTTTGTTTGACGAGTCCTGCTCCCCCGGCGTCGCGTAATGGGAGACTTGCTCCGTTTGCACGGCTCGCTTTATCAGCTCTTCCGATTATACTGCGGTGGAACGTCCCAGAGAGGAGTACAGAGAATGTGGGGGAGGAGAAGGAAAAGTCCCAGTTCTCACAGCCCCACTGATGGCTTCCATATGGGCCTTTTGGGGGGGGGGGGCGGCACCTCTGGATCCTCCAACCCCACTGCTGTCAACAGGCCCGCTGCCGCTTTTGACATAATCGCCGGCGAGCCCTTGTGATCCGCTCTTCGCCGCCGGTGTATAATTGGTGGCTTTTAAGTGCCGGTGCGAGCAGGCCGGTCAGGTTCCGACTGACCGACAAACAAATAAGGGAGGGAGAAAAAAAAAAAAAGAGCTGACTGATGGGATGAGTCATGTTTTCGGACCACTTAAGTCTGGCAGGGTGCCGGTCTGTGACCCCCGTAAGCCACATACGTAAAAGCTCTTTAACGGAGTGCAGCGGGCCTCTTAACGGCCACCAGGAAGCCGATCAGCACCCGGTTTTTTAAGCTCACAAAGCGCCTCTTAATATTTCATGGATGGGCCTCAGTGGGAATCGGAGCCGAGGGTATTTTAACCCCGAGACAAAACGGGGCATTAAGGCAGGAGTGTGGGGGGGGGGGGGGGGGCCGCCCCCCCCCTCCGTCCAAGAGCTCACCGATTACGTTTTAAAGTGCGGTTTTACACATCTGATCCAACGCAACCCAATGATCCCCGTTCACACCATGCCGAGGATGGCGGCACGTCAGTCATATTTTTGCTTTGTGTCTTCCTTCCTCGCAGAAATGGCAGCGGAGGTTCTTCATCCTGTACGAGCACGGCGTGCTGCGCTACGCTCTGGACGAGATGGTGAGTGCTGCTGAACGCGGGTTCCCGCGCCAAGGCCGCGTCGTCTCGGTCGAACCAAACCCCCCCGATTGCTGTTGTTTTACCGTATCGAGCGCAGATGCCGACGGCGGATCTCATGCGTTGATCTGGGATCGATTGGAGGACGATTGTGAGCGCGTCGAGCACAAAAACCAACAAGCGCGGTGTGAAAAGGAGCGCGGCCACGGCGTGTGTGTTTTTTGTTTGAGTGACTAACACACTTATTGAGCACCATGGCAACGTCCTGCTTTGAAATCAGAAAGAAAGAAAAAAAAAAAAGCTACACTAACTAACTAATCAGCTGTTGAATATCTTTCAGTAATTCCGCTGTTTAAAATGTGGGCCGCCTGGTTTTCCTTTTCGGAGCTGCCGTGTTTGTGCGTCACTTGTTTTGAAGGCGCTAGTTTGTGCAGCTCGCTGAATATCGATCGACACCGAGGCAGCAACCCTGCAGTTTTTTCTCTCTTTCTAAACGTGGACGAGCTTTGAAAAGAGGTGGAAGCAGAAGTGGTTGAAACAGCACTTGCTTTGTTGCTGTTGACCCTTTTCATGCTGAAATGTGGATTCTGTGGCAGAGGAGAGAGACGAGCCGAGAGGGTTTTACGTAACAAGCAGCCGGCGCTGCGATGAGATCTCTTGATGATCCCTTTTTACGGGTCATCGCTCTCCTCCTATAGAAAGCCGCTACTGTTATTATTCATATTTCCATATCAAGACAAGCTTTTGTTCAAAAAAAAAAAAGGTTGGCCTGAACGTCAAACTCCATCCGGTGAAGTGGATTTGTGCGCTTCAGAGGGAATAGACGGAGGGGAAGCGGAGGATGTGCTCCTTGCAGTCATTGTTCTCACCGCGATGTCACTCTTCGTCTCTTCATCTCCGCTCTGAACAAAGGGTCAAAAGGCACAGCGACGCCTTCTGGAGCTGCAAAATATCAAGTGACACTGAGCAGAAACCCCCGCTCGCCGCGGCAGACGCATTAGAATATCGTTTAGTGTTGACAGACTCGGACAATTGTTCGTCCGGGTATTCCGACTGAGTGGCGGCGTGAGATTTAATTGAACGCGGTTTAATGGCCCCGTTCACCTTTTTTATTGACTGTAGTTCTTTGCCATTGTGACCTCAGCTCGGTCACCATTGTGCGCCGTGGTGCCGATATTCAATTCTTTAGCCTCAGTATTCCGGCGTGAAGAGAACATGGGTTCTTATTGGAGGGAGAGAATAGCTGAGAACGTTTGGCGAGCGCAGGTCACGTGTCAGCGCGGCTTCTCGGGGATCGTTTCCCGCCCGAAGACGCCCGCGGACGTCCTCTGCGTTCGCAAAACGTGGGAATGCGACGGCGGAGGCCGCGCGCTGTGCGAGACCCGGCTTCTCCCTGAGCGAGCCGGCGCAGTTAGCGAGGCCGTTGCCGAGGCGACGTGTTTTGTCCCTTTTGTCCAGCGACGGTCTACCGCGGCGGGCGCGTAACGCGGGAGAGGGCGGTCTCTGTCCTCGCTGAGGGGGACAAAGGACAGAAGCCTCTGGGTGTCACGAGTCGGACGCGAGCAAAGCTTTCTGCAGCCTGTTGAGGTGCAGAAACCTAGCGTGGGAGGGAGGATGGGAGGGAGGATGGGAGGGAGGGGAGGGGGGGGGAGGAGGGTTTGATGCACCTGGACCCGAGGGCTGTTTGACTGTAGACTCTTTGTCAGGAACAGGTGTTGCGAGGGCTGAGAAGCCCTCCGCTTCGGGCCGCGTGGACTAAAGCGGCGCTTTTATAATTGTTTTTCGAGGTCCTGGGAAAAGAAAAGTTGCAGCGGCCGCCCAAGCGCGAGATCTCGGTGATGTGGGAAACGCACCCCCCCCCCCAAAAAAAAAAGCCATTGGCACCTCGCGGTGAGGGCGGGCGGCTACGTGGGTGTAAAGAACTCTCCGGCTCGACGGAGCCGCTCCAATGACATCGGCGTTAAGAATGACCAACGCGCGCACGCTAATGACGCTCTAAATACCCCACGCAGCACCGCGCTCCCACCGGGGGCACACTCGCACGCCCCCCTCATCACGTGACCTTTTGGATGACGAGTTCGTCGCGACCGGCGGCGTCTGACCTCACACGGCCAGCGGCCCCCAGGTTTCATGACTGTTGCTCACTGTGCGTCGTGTACGGCGTTTCGGCCCTTTAATTTGTGCGACTGTGTTTTGTGTGCAGGTGACTGTCTGCACCACAAACACACCCCCTGCGGTTCCGAGTAGTGAGCGCTCACGGAATCCCATCTGTTGAAGTCATTCCCATTTGATCGTAACTTAATTTCCGGTGGCTACTGGATATTGTGACAGTGCCCCCCCCCCCCCTGAGGTGTCCACTATTTCCTCCCTCCTGAATCCTTCGGAGAGGAGCGTGCCCGAGCGCAAAGGTTGGCCCTCAAAAACTCTTTGACAAGACATTTTGACGTGCGGAAACACGCAGGAACTGTGTGAAGCCGAGCACGTGGGGCTATTTCAACCAATTCTGAGGGAGCCTTTTGTTGCTCCGGCGTTTTGGTTTTTGCTCGGTTGGGGGCTTCCTAGAGGGCGGGCGAGTGGACGGGGGCCTGCGAGCGGTTCCCTTGAGGCACTCCACGCGGGCAACAGGTGGAGGCCGACCACCGCGCCCCATCGTATTGGGAATAGTGGCGGCTCCGGTACCTGCAGCGCACACGTTTGTGTGACGGCGCCGGCTGGTTTAGGATTAAGAGAGGGCTGAGAATCGCCCTGAGCCCCCGCCGTCTGTCGATAGGGCGGCGTAGGCCTTTCCGCGGCGGGTTGTTTGCAAAGTGCGGGTCCCGAGTGAGGCGCGTGTTGGTTTTGTAGAGATACGCTGCGTGAGAGTCTTCTTTAACCCCTGCCCTTCCTTCCCCCGTGGCTCCAGTAGGAACTGATCTGCTGGAATGTAAACAGCCACGGATTACAGTGGGGTCACTGTTCCCGTTGCACAAAGCCAGTAAACCATGGGAACGGCCATTCACACGGCTCGTAATCAGCGGGCTCCACGACGCTGTAGCTGCCACTCAGACCCACAGACCAGTTCGCCGCTTTTATTCGGGGGCATTCCCTTGTTTTGGTTTTCGGGTACAGAAATGGGGAATGGTTTTATCCCAGGAATTCCCGAGCAGTCGGCGGCGACCACGGTGTGTTTTGCTTTTCTTTCCAGGCTTTAGCCGCCACCGTGACGGTAGCGCGACCGACAAACGGAAGCGGAGTGCGCGTCAATAACTGAGAGCTGAGCGCCGCTGTCGAAATACGTAACGTCAAGGCAACGTGACAAGGGGCCGTTTTGTTTGTCGGCGCGATATGCGGCAAATAAAAAATACATTGGAAACCTGTGTGAGGCGGTCCGGGGATAAAAGGCCCCAGTATTTAATACTGCAGCCTCCTGCTGGGTATGAAGGGGATTTTATTGTGAAGTAACGGATGCAGTGAAGCAGTAATGAAGTTGTTGTCGTCTCGGTGCAGACTAGTGAGCCTCAGGGTTATTATTTTACTTTCATTAGGTTTTGGCAGGACGATACCTGTCGCTTTGCTGTCCAACCTTTCTTGTAAACTCAGCTGCTGGTAACTATAAAGAGGCCTACATAGCAAATCTATGGTTAATAGGCAGAATCAGGAACATTTATTACCAATATATGTTATATAGGTTTTTTTTATATAATATATATATATATATATATTTTTATATATATATTTTTATATATATATATATTAATATATTATATATATATAATATCTATATCTATATATATATATATATATATATATATATATATATATGATATACAAGGAATTTCACTTTCACAACATAGTGCAAGTGGAATTTAAATTAAAAATGTAAAAAATGAAGTGCACCAGCGGGCAGAAAGTTATTGTGTACGTGCATTAAAGTTGTATATTAATCGCAATGTTGAACAAAGCTACGGCACTTTTCTCATGCAGGCCTGGTTTTGTCGACTCCAAACCAAACGGAGCTCGTTGTGTATTTCAGCCACAGCCTCCCCTCCAAGTCAAGAAATGGACCTCACTCCGTTCTCATGGGAGATGATTGACCTGACACTGATTCAGCAAACGTAACCGCAGCGTCCACAGATACCAGGCCAGAAGCCGTTTGGTAGTCTGCGTAGACGTCGTACATCTCCGCTTCGGCACAGAATCTCACCCGCCGGCTCACATCGAACCCGGTCGGCAGGTCTCCGTTCCACTTTTTTAGTGTCGGCCTCGGCTTTAGCGCCGCATCAGTCCGAACACTTCTTAAGAGGGACGGCAACCAAGTCACAAGTCGGTTCTCTGGATATAAACGCCGGACCTTGATGTCCCTTCTGGTTACTTTTGCTGTGTATATCTGAGGCCTGACCTAATGGTGATGTTGGTGGTGTCGTTCTAACGTTTCATGCACTCCCGCTGACCTCCCCGTTCCCCACTCACCATTTATTGTGTGTGAATTTGTTTCCCAGCCAAGAGACCTAATGAGTCTAAAAATAATGGCTCCGAATGACGTAAAATTACAGTAAAAAAACCCACATTGTTCCCCGGTGTGCGCTGTCAAACGCACACACAGAGCGGGGGGACGAGCGCCCCCCCCCTCGCCCCCTCTTTGTTTGAGCGAGCAGGAAGTGCTAATGGGAGCGAATTCATTGACGTTTAGTGACCCGGAAATGTGCAGTCAGAAATGGGGCAACAACATTAAATCTCCTCCATCGGATCCAAAACGAATCACGTTGGTTGATTTCTTCTTCTTAACGTGTTTTAATACTCTGAGCTTTCGGGGAGACGCTCCCTGTTTTCGCCCACCCCCCCCCCCCCTCGCGGGCCTGTTATCACACCGGCGCTCGGTGTAGCGTGTTCTCGGTGAAAAGTCCTCAGAGCGGTCGTCTCTTTTGGACCCTCCTTCTCGTTCTTTTTTTTTTTTTTTAATGATTCCCTGCTGTTCATTATCCAGAGAAAGGCTTTGGCTAAACACTGTCCTCTCCACTTGCATGCGCCCCACTTTTACTTTTGCATTACTCCGTCCGCCCCCCCCCCCCTGTTCTCTCTCTCCTGCGTCTCTCTGGC